AAAAGCTTGTCTGGTTTTTCACTGGAAAATAATGTAGCATGAAAAAGTGGCATTAGTTAAATGTTGCTTGTGAATGAAAGGGCAAAGGAGTCTGTGACTAAAGAAACTGAACAGACACGAACATGGCTCATGATGGCTGCTTTCATGTCTGTTCTCTGAAACAAAATGTCAGACCTCTTTCCACTTGCTGTCTGTAGCTGTTCTGTCAGTGTGACACACTGTTAGAATATACTTTACATACACGGCCTGAAGTGCCTGAAATTACAGCACCTCATCCCAAGCAGCCACTCAAAACATCTGCCAAGTGTCTTTGCTGCCACATACAACCCACAGCCAACAGCTGGGGTGGCACCCTGGTACCCCAGAGAAGCAACTTCCAGGGAACAACCAGAAACATTTGTGCATTTTTCCAGGTCATAAAGGCTTAATTCACAATGGATGTTGTATCAAGACGTCTCTGAGCATCCACAGGGAGAAGGTGTTGACAGAAAGGCGGGCTGAATTTTCTGCTTTCACTTCAAAAGGAAAGTCTTTCCAAATTGCAGAATAAACAAGGAAAAATGCAATTCAAAAACATCAGGAAGAAGAAAGAGAGGTTAATGGGAAACATTTCTTTTTAACATAAAGACTCCATATTATTTTATTTCATTTATTGCATTGAACCTACATCAGGTTTGTGTGCATTTCACCATCTTTGAACATGATTTTAGCATCTTCTGATAGTCCTTTATCTTTGAAAGTAGGAATTATATGGGTGGGGATGATAAATCTGGAAGGAATATGAGATGGTCTTGACAGGGGAAGATTTGGCAGAGCAGGATGAAAAGAAAAAAAAAAAAGGAATTTACTTTTTAAAAATTATTTTAGGGACTCCACATTTAAAATTTGCTTTTTGTCCCCAATTGCTTTTCAGCATACTTTATCACACTGCCAAAGAAGCATTCTTCCATCAGAAATTAAGCCAAAGTGATTCCATTGGCAATTGTCTGCCTTGTTCACAAGCAAGGGTCATTGTGCAATCTTTCATGCCTTATGAAACTGATATTCAGCACACTTTTATTTTTACATGGTATATTCAAAACTTAGTTTGAATTCTCATTTTATCCAAATGTCCTGAAATAAAGCAAGGAATGTATGGTCTGATTCCTACTAAAGTGACAGGTTTGCTTTTAGCTCACTTCATGACTTTGGCATGCAAGGTGAGTAAAGACAGAAACGTGGGTCAGCTTTATTCACTTTATAGCTGAGCCCATGCTGATAGGCCTGGAACTGAGCTCATGGGTGCCTTTCCAAGTTCTGCTGGGGAATTCCATGACAAGTGACAGACTTGGTTGTGTAAGTCAGTGGCAGAAATACGAAATAAACTGCATTTCTCAGTGTATGGTGTGTAGCTAGACCATTCCTGTAACTCTGGATATGAGTTTCTCTTTGCAAATTATGCAAATACTTAACTTTTCTCACACATTAATGCCTTTCTTCTGTTAGCAATTATAGATCAAGACAAAGCATTTAAATATCCATTTTTTTATGTTCTGAATAAATTAAAAATTTAACTTTTTGTGTGTTTCTTGCTATATCTTTTTTCTTATGAGAAAGTATTGTGATTCAGAACAAGTTTCATACCTCCAAAGTAGCTGAAAAAAGGGTATTTCAATATAATATCAGGGCTATGTCAGGAAGATAACTAGGGAAAATCAGGCTAGCTACAGCCAAAGATATCCAGCTGTCTTAATCCCTATAAATCTCTGCTAGAGCAAGTGGAAAGAAAATATGTAAAATATCAAAACTGCACATGTCTCATATTTAAATGTTTCCACAGAAGTCTAACCAAGCTTGAAAGTTAATCTTTAATTCAAAGAATGGGAAATACCGAGGAATCATTTACAAGGCCACAGGTCACTAGGGAATACAGTAGTCTGACTTCATAAATCACAAGCAAGCAATGCTAACTGAGTCTTTAGTGGGTTCTATCTCATTTTCAAGGGTCTGTACATCTTTTGCATAGTTTTTAAATGCTGGTGGCAATCAAAACAATGTACAGAGGAACATGTGTAACCATGGGGACTAATAAGAGAATTTCTGTGGTCATGCTTGACAAGATCCCAGAAAACTCTGAAATCCACAGGCAAAAGTTTAACGTGTCATGGCCGGCATTGCATGTCTTAATTCTATTCTGCATTTAAAGTTACATTAAAGTACTCCAAGGTCATTGCCTGCCCAAATATTCATCTCACAGATTAATACCAGGCCATCAGGCTACTCCCTAAAAGAGGAGGTGAATCAATCAGTGTTCAGAATTCCTTTAGCAAAGCCATCAGACCCCACACTGCACTTCCAGAAAGTTTCAGGATGAGGTTCGAGGAACCAGTTAGACAGATGTGAAAACTCCAATGCTAAAAACTGAGGATTAACAGAGGTCTGGTCAGACAGCAGGAAAGGGCAAGACTCCAGAGACTGAGTCCACACAAGTTGTGTAAAGCTCCATGGTGAAATAAAGCAATAGGAAGGTGTGAGGTGGGAGATAGCTGTGAAGGGAAACATCTGAAGGACATAAAAAAATTTTAGAATGCACCTGAATCGAAGGCATCTTGAGAGGCTGTAAATGGTAACATTTCCCTAAGCTGTAGTAATTTTTACTATTACTGCCTTTTGTGAGTCATGTGTCTGCTTCCCCCCAGGCCCTAAAATGGGAATAACACTTCAGAAGGATGCCTCTGAGATTTAATTAGTTGTCATTTACCAATGATCCTGAGTAAAGTAAGACCATCTTGCTTTATCAGGTATACCTCCTTAACACAAATTAAAAAGAAAATCCACTAGGAAGTTTAATGATTTGTTATCTAATATAGCGTATGCAGACACCATTTAGTATCTTCAGAAGAGAGTGCGGAATGGGAGTCCTCATTTTGATTTTCAGGGAGTATCTGGAGAGCATGTGCAGCATGTGAGCTGTGAGAATCTCTCTACATCCTTTTACTGGATTCTATGAAAATGAAGGGCTTCTACTCCGAATTACGACCCTTACAAGGATCAGGGGGAAAATCACTTTCCAATAGGTGTTGAATCACTTGCTGAAAACAGAAGTCTGCAAGTCCTAGAGCCCCAGCTCTAATTTGAATATGGGCAAAATCTGGATGTAACTCCAAACACATGAGTTTTGAATAGCTTTACATCCAGCAAGCAATGAAGTTACTGCTCTGAAAGCTAATTACTCACAACCAATATCAATCAGATTACTCATGTAAATAGTCAGCCAGGAACAAGCAATAATAAGAAAATCTATCCCTTTGACTTTCATGTTTAGCAAACTCATATTAATGGATCCTCCACGCTATAATCTTTATTCCTTACACTTCCTATAAAATTCCTCTATTCTCACTGTGTCCAAGCAGGAATTTACACACCACGAACAATGGGCAGTTTAACTGAGTTGATTGTGCTGGTTAACTGTCCCAGCAGAGACCGTGGGGTTTTTACCCTAAGCATGGGCAGAAAGGGAAGGAGAGGGATTGCTATCTCCCCAAAAACCCTGGTCCTATGGACCAAAGATATCAGAAAGGTCAGGCACCCTGAGACCATCTCCACTTCTGCCAAAGCCTTGCTCACAGCCTGTAAACTGGAATTTAATTTTTGGCTTGACAGGGCTCCCCTATTGAGACTTTAAAGGCTTGCAAATGCCACTAGTATCTCATGTGAAAACAAAGCAACTAGGGCTTGGCAAGGGGTGTGGAGGAGATTTATAAGGTGTCTATCATGGCAAGAAACACTGTCAACAACCCATACAGAAAAATACTGTCCTACTTATCTTTTGTGGATGAAAATTCAAACCGTGCTTCTGAAATAACATCCTCAGCTGTTTCTATCTCCTGACTTATAAAGTGACATTCTGCAGAGTTTAAGCATGGCACAGCAGCGTAGGCCATTTGTAAGGAGAGCTATCATGTCCTGAGAAAAAAAGATAAAAGAGATAAATAGCCAAGTAAAATATTGTACCTCAACAAGCCAAAAGACAATCTCAAAACTGAATGGGGGAATGGAGAGCTTTTATTTCTTGGTTTTTTAAAGAACAAAGCTTAGTGATTTCCTTTAAAAGCTATTCTACAAGCTCCCCTAAATCCTATTACAACTTAATGTGAAATGCATCTGTTTCCATAAGACCCACAGTGGCGGCATTCATCCTTTGTAGTCTGTCCTTTGTTGTTTTTTTTATCTATTCTTGTCGATTTCCCCACTCTAGTGTACCATACACAAAACAAGAACTGATAAAATTTTAGTCAGAGCATTTATTTATTAAGTTGATGCTGGAAATTCAGTTTGTTCCTGCTTGCCACGTGAATCATGCCAAATTAAAATATTGTTCAAGGAATTCATAAGGTAAAGAAACCGTTTCGATACTGTCCCAACATTTCTTGCATGTGGATTCTGTATTCAGCTTCAGATATTTAGCTACACATAATAGCAAGGATGAATATAGCCTCTGCATGACTTCTCACTGTAACTGAGATCCAAATGTACTGCAATGTATTCAGCCCGTGTATCCTAAATCAGTTCAACATCAGCTCAGCACTGCACCATTTTTTAGAACCTGCACATGTAGCTGTCTATATAATATTTTTCTAAGATATGACCAAGCTGGTGGGTTTATCTGATGTACACTATTTAACTGAATTCACATTCAGCAGACTATGAGGCATATTAATTCTTAAAAAGGTGTATATTTAGAAAATCTTAGATAAATGGAAACTAGGAAGTGCAAGATGCAACATGCTTTTATTAATGTCTTGCCAGTGGAAAAAGGTGACTTTGATTGTTTGTATGTTCTGAACTCAAATGCTGGGTGTCTTGTTTTTAAACACAAGGAAATTAAGTTTTAGCACCTTTAGCTTTTTTAACCTTCACCATCATCACCATTACAAATTTATACAATGTATTGTTTAACATTATAATTAGTGTGGCTGATGTTTTTTAATCTGTTTTCCCTCTCGTTGTCTCTTAATCAGGTAACAGACATTAAAGAAAAGCTAAAGCTCTCTAAAAAGTTCTGGTCAACACTGCCCTACACAATCTGCAAGGACGAGCGGGTGACAGCGGGTCCGTCCGTCGAGGAGGACTGCTGGAATGGCCACACCAAGGCGAGGTGAGGTGGACCCCTCTCCACTCCACCCAGCCCAAATCCCCACCTGGCCTGAAGCATTCATGAAACTGGGGGTCTTTCACAAAACTGTTCATGAGGGTGAAACAGAAATGGGGAGAATAAGTCATTGTCTATGCGCCCCTTGTAGCCAAGATTACTTATTGTCAAAATGCCATTAAAGCCAGAGTGTGAGTCTGGGTAAATGTGCACAGAGGGTCAGCATGTGAAGGCAGAAAATGTGCATTGGTTCAGCTCCAGAAGGATAATTTATACTGAGATTTCAAAGAGCTCTTTAGGTCCATTTAGCATCCCTGTGTTGGGACTGACAGCTTGTGAAGCAATTGTACTCTCGGGATACCATACTGGGATGAAATAGAAATTGGAATTTCAACTCTGCTTGCTATTGGCTGGCAAAGCTTAGGGCTATTTACTGGGGGGGAGGCAAAAAATGAAAAATCACCACTAGAGAATAAATGTAGCATTCCTACTTATCTTGTGTAGAAGATTTGACCTTATGTTACCTCTTCAGAGATAACTGTGATCATCTGCCCATGTTTGTGATGAGTATTCTGTGAGTTTTAATTTTGAAGTTTACTTGGCCCTGGCTGCAGCAGAGCAGGAGCCAGCAGATGAGCAGGTGTCTCCAAAAGTCCCAGTGTGGATTCATCAGCTGACAGAGAAGAGGATGTGATTATCCCTGCTGAGAGGGGGAGGAATTGGCTCAGGGACCATGCCAGGGGCATGGTTTCAGGTGTGCAGCAGTATCCTGTGCTTTTGGGTAAACATGGGGAGCAGAGAGGTTTGAGTGTCTGGTGACAGCTGAATCTTGAGAGAAGTCACACATTCTGGCACTCAGGGACTGGAATCTTTATTTTCCTTTTGCCTGAAGATACATATGGAGACAGAATATAAAAATGACACAAAAAGATAAAACAACCTACAAATTAAACAAACAAACAAGAAAAAAATGAGACAAGCATGCAAAATATAAAAACGGTGAATGTAAGACAACATAGGAAAAACACTTAGAAATGTGCTCAGTGTCATTTTAGAAAGATGTACGGATGGACAGATGCATAAATAGATTGCACCCACCTCACCATCTCATCATCTGATCATTTTGATAAGGGGCACAGTTTACAGGAGGATGTTTCACACTGAATGCACGCCATTTTTTCCTTGCCTTACTACATAGCCTTCAAAGGAATTCATTTTGCAGACAGGAGAAGGGGTTTGTTTGGGATACTGCTAGCCCTTTGAATCCACTTATGGATGCATGTGAACAAATCTATCCAGAAACATGAGCCACTGCTTAGTTGCTAAGTCCCAGATCCAGAGAAAGCCCCTGGGGATTCAGAGAAGTACTTGGAGGAGTGTCTGGATATTACAAGACTCATCATAAAGGAAGAGTGTAAAAAGAGAAACAAATATATGTGGTTTCTCTTTCTCTATTTTATCCCTTCTTGTTATAAGCTTTGAAAGACATGAGCTCAGGCCTGTGCACTGCCAGCAGTTAAGCAGAGTTTCAAGGCATGCCAGCTAAATGCCATGAGCCACATCAGGGTGTATGCATCAGTAAGAGATATATGCTACTCTTTCTACAAAAGAGCAGCCAAATCCCTTAATATCTATCTATTCCTCCTGGTTTCCATGCTTAACACTAGTGTCTGTACCACATCTGGCAAATACTTGGCAGCTCTCTTCTGCTCCTGCACTGAAGGGTTTGGCACAGCTTCCACATTTGTTGGGAGTTAAGGAGGTACATTTTATGCATACAGTTTTTCACCCTTCTTTTGCAGAATTTATCTTATGAGAAGCCTGGGTTTCTTCATTATGCCTTCTGAGATTAATGTTCTGGAGAGAGAAGAGCAGTCCTCTGTTAATAATCTCCTTGGTAATTGAACACAGATGTTTCACTGGATGTAGAGTGACAGCTTCAAAATATCACCTGAAGATACCATTTCAGCAAGTCCAGCCACTGCTCCTCTGCCCAGTTTCTGTTTAATATCCATTCACAAAGGAAATGTATAGTCATAGTCTTTGTAACAGAATTCAATAAATGCTTCAGGTGGAGGCAATAGTAATAAATCTGAGAAACGCCACAGAATGCCATGGCTGGATATGAAATAGTCTTAAAAACAATATTGAAAATAAATAGCTCTAAATGCAAAATCACCCCTTGGCCAGTGGACAAATACTTTTACTGCAGCAGAAAAAAAAAAAAGGTTTCCTTGATCAGACTGATTAGTATCTGATATCAAATACTATCAAATACTACCTCACAAGAACAAGCATAGCAAAATCTGGCCAGTATTCATATATATATCTATATATCTATATATCTATCTGTGTTCACTGTGTCAGCTGTCACAAGCACCCTGTGCTATATGAGCAGCTGCATGTTGAATTCCAGAGAATATGACAAAAGCCTGTGATGAAAAAAAAAGGAAACTTAGCCACTTCCTATCTTCCTAAACATTAATGCTGTAAGTAAGAAGACAACACGGTGTTGGCTACCATTGGGAAAGGAAATTATTGCTGGGGTTTTAATCAAATCCTGTTTTGGAATAAAGAATTGGAAACTTTGAATTGCCAGATAGACATTATAGCTTATGTTTCACTTTACACATCACCTTTTGATGCTACTTTTACAGGGGAAAAGAGTTACAAACCTGAGAGCACAGAGAATGAGAGCTTGGCTTTCTCCTGAGAGCGGCATTACACCAAGGTCATTTGTGGTTATTACACTCCCTAAATATCACTTTGCTGCCATGATTAATTTACAGTGACACCAGGTCACCAACTGAAGGTCGCCAATTCACAAGTAATCATGGCATAACAGAGCCATCCATTTGGTGTTCTGGAAGGGTGCACTTGGCTCAGTGCTGATCCTGTACAAATAATGGTTTTAATCAGGTCACATCACGTAGAAACCAAGTGCTGTGGAAATGGGAAAATATTTATTAGATGGATTAATCTCTCTTTTTTGAAAAATCCATATTAAAGGTAATAATAATAGCTACTTCAGACAGAGTGCCTTTTAGAGAGATGCCCAGCAGGATTTCTCCATCATATTTGTATTCACAAAAGAACGTGAACATAATTTTATGTTTAAAGAATTAACATCTTCTACCAGATGTGCAGAGACAGATTTCTGAAAGCTATTTAGGATCTAAAAAACAGCATTAAGATCAAACTTTGAAAATTTACCTCCCTCCCTACATACAATTAAATTCTTAACAACAGCTGATGGCAACTTCACTAATAGGTATTCATTAGAATTAAGAAATTTTCCCAAGAATGATGGAAAATCAGGTTTTAGGACTTAACCAGGTCCAAGGTATTAATCCTTGAATATATGACTTTTACTGAAGTAAAAACAGCAACCAAATCTGGAACCCTCTGATGCTCAGGAGAAAAACTTTGAATTGCTCCAACCAGCTCAGCCAGCTCATTCCAACCAAAGCATCTGAGAGATTGTGCTCATGCTCACCAGGGCTATAGACTAAATAATATGTCTTAGCTCTGAAAAGCTGTAATCCCTGGAATAGATGAGACCTGCATTCCTTTCCACAAGGAACCTATCACTCCTCCAAACAGAAGAAGAAATAGAATTATATATGAGACAGAAAAATAAAACAAACAGAAAAACCTAGACAAAGGTAAGGAATAAAAGGAAAATTGAACACTATAATTTTCAATATCGAACTCAAAACTACAAGGTATGTCACCAAAGCAAACACAGGATAGATTCTCACCTGTCCTGACATTCTCTTCTTCTCCTGCCACAAATGTGGGTGTCTACTTCTGTGGCAGAGAGTTTTTAATTTCTGGTGAAACTCAGTGGGAAGAAAGACTCACCAGATCGGTGTTTGCCCTGAGAAAGTTGCTCACTGCTGTCCAGCAAAGTGGCAATGAGTTGAGTGTCCTTTAGCTGGATGAATGCATAGATGACTGTTTAGCCCCACTAGTGAAAGGGGGAATAAACCACTTCTCACTAAGTGTGAAAACTGCTTATTCTTAATTGATGCTCTAATTTATTTTTGTATCTTCAAAAAAACTGGCAGTGAGGATTTTCTCCCTCTCCTTGTGTCTGCTCAAGCTTTTCTCCAAGATGGAGGGGAAAAACCAAACTGAAAACATCCTATGGGGATTACCTCCTGAGCAAACAGCATCAGATGAGGTGAACTAGTTAGCCAAACAAGCCAATTTTCCACTGCACTTATCTTTCTGGACCAGATGTGACTGACTAAACCCAGCCCAGCCTGAGTAAGCCTGTGCTGTATTTTGTATTCTATTGCCTACAATTCTGTGCACCTGGAATAACTCCAGCACTGCCTAGGTGGCATGCCCCAGTTGTACTGTAAGCAGCTGCTGTGGCAGCAAAGTACGGAGAATGTTGCCCTTAAAGACAGATTCCTTTTAAAAATCAGATTCCTCCTTTCTTTTTTCTTTTTTTTCTCTTTTTTTTTTTATTTGGGGGGATGGGGTGACAACTCTACATGCTTTATATATGTGGTTGATTCATCAATCATTTTTAGACTTGAAAAGGAAGCAGACACCATGGAACATTAACAGGTTATTAAAAAAAATAAAAGAGTGGGAAAAGAGAAGTGGTTTTAAATAGGCTTTGTGGTACTTGGCTATAATGTGCCAAAAGACATCTTTGCTGTGTCTGCTGAGACAAGCAAGAACTGTGGAAAGGCTAAGAGGAATAGAAAGCATTAATATTTTAGAAAACAACGTAAATTACACTAAAATCCTGACATAGCTGAGCAAGGAGCAAACACCACAAAACAAACAGTATTGTTCAGCTTCTCTATACTCAGAGGGCTAAGAAAGCTTGCTTCTCTTTTTTTTTTTTTCTTTTTTTTCTTTTGCAAGGAGGATGGAAAGAACAGACACTGATTCAGGTTGGCACTTCTCTTCATTTATAATGGGCATACAGTCCTTGTAATGGCCAAGCCTACAAAGAGATCATTAAGGAGAGCAGAAGCAGCAGCAAAGCTTAAAATTCACAAGGGTGTCTCAACTTACGGAACTGCAACAAAAGCAGCTGTGTTCAACAACTTTGCCCAGCCAGCAACAAATCTTCTGTCAAATCATGGTCCCAAGACATGGCTTCCTATTCGGTGTGACTTAACCCTCCCCCACACCCATGAAAATGTTTTTGTCAGAACATGTGTTGGGCTGCCTCTCCGAGGCTGCCACTCACAAAACACCTTGGGCTGCCTGTTCTCATATCTGCATCAGTCCTTTAAAGAAAGGAAAATTATTTGAAGATATTTCATTCAATAGAGGCTTTTCTGTCTTTCCTCTCCACCTGCAAAGAAGCAGGTGAACTAGTTCAGTAATGAGGGCAGAATTCAGCTACACATTCAAACATGTAAATTCAGGTACCTCAGTATGGGTGAGACAATAAGGGGTGTGAGACAATAAGGGGTGTGCTGCCCAAGCAGTTGTAGTATCACTGGAGATTCTTTGGGCTGTCTGGGATGAGTGTGACACAGGACACTGCCTCCCCTCTGGACCAGAGCCTGGGCTAAAACTGCTTGAGCATTTTTAAAAGCACCAATGTTAATATGCCTGAAAAGACACCCAGTATCCTGTCAGTGTACTCAAAGAGGCAGTTTTCCACTGCCTGAATACACTTACCTACTGCTATGTAAGATGGTGTAAGTAGTCATGACACCTTCATGGAACTGGGAAATTAGACCCTGGACCTAGTGGATATTCAAACCCTACTGGAGTGGCAGCAGGACACCAAGCAGCCCACATCCTAGTGGCTGAAGTGGCATTCAAGACTCAATTCAGCTGCCCTAAGAAAGACACACACTATAACTTTAGATGCCCCAGATGTCCAGGACCTCCCCCTAAAGCCTGCAGATATGATCCAGAAAGCCTCACCTTTCAGAGCTCACCTTTCAGAGCTAGTGACAAGAAGAGGAGGAATAACTAAGAGCATTCAAATGGCACCAGCTGTCTATGTTTATGCAAGGAAATCCCAGCAGATGAAACATAATGAACTAGTCATTTGGCCAAAGGCTCATGGGACTCTAACAGCTGTCCCTGCTCCACTGATGAATACACTCCTGACTAGCTGTGACTGGATCTGGTGGTGGCTAGATCTGGTGAGAGTGGGACTCTGCTTATGCCCAGACACTTGCATTTGAACACACAAGATTTGGTATGTGTGTTAACCTAAAGATTAATTTTCAGCCTTTCTAATTCTTTTGCTATTATGTCCTAAATGCCAAGGGAATTTAAGCATTCAACTAACTGTTAGGCAGTGTTAAGGCTATGGATTTCTTGTGACCTACACCAAGTATGTGTCCCTTACACACCTAAGTGAGGTACACTTGCCAGGAATGCTTTAGGGGTCACCAGATCCTGGGCAGATAAAGCAGGGTGTGTGGCAGGGTGTGTGGCAAAATCACTGAATGGGCTGCCCCATGTAAGTTAGACAATCCTGAGAAGGGCATCAGATGCACACTAGTCACAGTGCAAAATACAAACCTCCATGAAATGCACCCACTAGAGCACTCTCTAATTGCTTTAAGTCAGTGCATCCTTCCTTTATTGTTGATGGTAAGACAAAATGAAATCAGAAAGAAATCAGTCAAAGAAAGGCTGTGAGCTGCCCTTCAGAGCTATCCTTAGCTTCTCATGGACAGCTTGCAATAAAGGGCTGCTAACCCTTCATAAACAAGGAAATCAATCCGCATGAATATTTAGCAATTTCAGATCACTTGTAGCTGCTAACAGCTATGGCCATTGTCATGGACAGGATACAGAGCAAGACAATCATCCTGTCTGAGGCAGTAGTTCAATTCTTACATTCCTGCTTTTTTAATCAACTGCACCTTGAAATTGCTGATTTACTACTAGGCTGAGTAATTTATCTACAGCAGCCCTTTCATTGGTAGAGACGTGTGACAGATGGAGATGCTGTTCCTTTGCAGTCCAAAGCATCCCTGCCTGCCAAGGTCTCCATCCTACTGCCTCCAGGCAGCTCTGCAGAATTATTTCCTATTCTGTCTTTAGTGATTCATAACACCATGGCCTGCAGTCTTCCATACTGGGGGAGGTAGCTCTGTGTTCTCACCACAGTAAATCTGACTGCAGAAGTCTGGATGGGATCCCCACAGCAATGTAATTTCTCATCATGGTACCAGTGAAACAGCAGGATATGCAGCTTGAGGCTGGGTATTTTGGCAATCATGTGTGGTTCTTTGATTTCACACACCCCCAGGGTTATTCTCATGTATGCCTTCAAAGGCCACTGGTGGCAAATGAGTCTCATCTTGCAAAGCGAGGACCCATTACGCTGAGACTGAGCCCTTCCTTGGTGCAGCAAAGTGTGCTTGTCCTGTGAGCCTCCAGAAGCAATGCAGAGCTTCTTTTCCCTTCACCATGACTTCAACAGAGAAAGTCCTTTCATCTCCTTTACTTTCACCTTTATTTTCCAGAGATATTTATTTTCCAGAGATATTTATTTTTCCAGACCAATATGAACAATGCTGTCATCAACGCCAAACTTCAGTGCTGGTAGAGAATTGGGCATGCACAAGTGAGAGTGATGTGAAATTCTCTCAAACTATATTTGGTACCAGGCATCATGAAAGTTTGTCTTTAGTAGGCTAGACTGTGCTATCATTACTTATTGTCTGAGCACACAAGCACACAAGGACTCCCACAAACATCAGTAGGACAGCCTGGTATGCAAACTAATTACAAAATAGATCATATCCTTATAAAGAACATAAACAAAGGGTAGATCTGCCCCAAATCCCTTGCAGCCTAAATATGAGAGAAAGATAGTAGGAAAGGCAGACAAGAGAGGAGAGGGAAGCTGTGATGCACTATTTTCTCAGGGTGCCATGCCAGCATAAAGAAATAATGTCAACCTTTTTTCAGCCTGGCAGCTGTAAAATGCACTGATAATTTTTGACAGAAATTCGAAGCAGGAAAAAATGTAGCTTTGAAAAAGCCTACAAGGAGAGCTTCCTGAGGACAAAGAACAGCAGGGGACAAAGAGTGCATCTTTAACAAAGGGTAATGGAGATTTTTACTGTAGGATGATTGGAGGCATGGGCTGCTTTTTGTAGGGGAAAGATGTGCAAAAGCACACTTGCATTTGCTGCCTGCAAGCAGCCTAAGACTGCATTATTCAAGGTCAGAGAAAGGAATGCTGCAGTAATCAAGAAATTCTAAGGTAAGAGCCTGAATAAAAGATTCAGATTTGTGGATGGATAGGAAATGCCATACCCTAAATGTTATGCACAAAGTACATGAGACATGAAAGCATAGCCTGGTTTAAAGGAATAATGACCAAATGAAAGAGAATACTGGAGTTTGGTAAAATTATAATGCTTTTTATGGGCCTGGATGTCGTGTAGGCTGGAGATGTTGTTCATGGTGGTCTAAAAAAGAGATGCAATGAAGAATTGAAGTAGAAAATTAAGTGCTCTTTTAAACTAGGAAAGCCATAATACCTCAAGATAGGCTTCTAAACTGTCTCAGAACAACAAATATGCTATATACAACAAAGGACTTCATATTTTTTAAGTAGAAAGAAATAAAAACAGCAGAATGCACTGTTAGATGCTTAATTTAGTGTGCAGCCATTCATGTCAGCAGACTGTATGAATATGTGGTGACTTACTGCTGTCTTGTGAACCTTTTCCATAGTTCACACAGTCACTGCTCTTGCTGGGGAGTATATGGAGAGTTAGGAGGTTGAAAAACCTAAATCCTTTCTGCTCCCCATGCAGCTGTGCTACTAAACAGATCCTTTGGAGTCAGTAAAATTAAAAACTATATTTTTAAAGCATTTTAATGGATCTGTTTAAGAACTGCACATTGAATTTCTTAGCACATCATTTACTGCACAGTGTTTTATTTCTGGAATTACTGTGCCTCACACTAATCTTTCATTCTGCTGCCTAGATACTTGCCTGAGATTATGAACGATGGCTTGACCAACCAGATCAACAATCCAGAAGTAGATGTGGACATCACAAGGCCAGACACCTTCATTCGACAGCAAATCATGGCCTTACGTGTCATGACTAACAAACTGAAGAACGCCTACAATGGGAATGATGTCAACTTCCAGGACACGAGTAAGAAACCATTAACTGTCATTACATAGCTGTAATTTTGGAACCCATTTATAAATTGGCTCTGCTGCAATGACTTTGTGGTCTTTGTGCTCTGCGCTGCTGACAACATAAAAAGTCTTTTTCTGTTCCATGAAATTCCAGTTATATAATAGTTTCTTTTGCTTCTCTTGCTTATCTTCATGTTTAATACATCCAGACACTGAAGGCTTTCCATAATGCCAGCAGTCTGATCCTTTTTCAGAAGAGCACTTAATCACCTAATTAAGTCACAGTGGGTTTCATTTGGAAGCTTTACTGAGTGAAATTTAGCACCACCAACACTTCCTCATTCCCAATGTGTTCATCCCCACTGGGGTGCCAAGTGGAAGGGAGAAAAGGGATGAAAGCTGTAAGCTGTATCACTCACGCTGTTTCCCTCCCTCCTTTGTGCCAGGTGACGAAACCAGTGGCTCAGGCAGCGGGAGTGGCTGCACAGATGACATCTGCCCCACCGAGTTTGACTTTGTCACCACTGAAGCGCCGCCTGTTGACTCGGACAGGAGGGAGGTGGAGGCTTCAGCCATACAGCCTGGCTGCTCACTGCAGACATTGCTCCTCATCTTCCTCAGCCTCCTACTGCAGGGACAGTGGAGATAATCCTGGATCTAGTCAGAGAAACTGTGTTTTAGCTACAGAAACAGCCTACTTTCTTCTTTTCTTATACTCTTGGACAATGGACCATGCCACAAACACTTGCAGTTTTCTACAAGATGGCAGTTATTGCAACCTGCTTCCCATTTTAGTTTTCCCAAAGAGTACCAGGTGCCAGACTGAACTGCTTCCTGCTTTTTTCAGATATCTCTGAAGACAATATCCACTCTTGAGAGAATTCTTTCTCAATCCTTTATTACAGGAGACTTTCTGAGCTTCATTTCCTTTTATGCTGCAAAAGGGAAAAAAGATCTACAGTATGTGTTTTTCCCCAGTGAGAAAAAAGACGGGGGAAGAAACCAAGAAAGTTTTCTTTCTGAATCAAGCCTGACTCAAGGCTGCTGCATTTCAACAGAATATCAACAAAACAAAAAAAAGACAAGAAAGGAACAAAAAAAAAAATGCAACCATTCTTCACTGACAGCCAGGTTTCCTTTAGGAACTTCTGTAGGATGATTCAGGTCATCAGAATGATCACTGTTATAGGGAGGAAGGCTGGATTTTTTTTTTTTCCCCAACACTAAAAAAGTATGTCTCAGCAGTGAATGTCTTGCACTCCATCTGCCAACCACATCAGATTGGTATGAAGGTAGAGAAGCTGAAAAATAAGTTTATCTTTTAGTATGGTAGTAGCTCCACTAGCTTCAGAATGTCATGTTACAGTTGCTTAGGATTTGAATCTTATTGCCCAGTAAAAATATGAGTAGTAGCACGATTTCACCTAGTTTCTTTTAGGATTTATCCATGTTATAGAACTGTCACAGTTTTCCTCTTAGCTCACCCCTGTGAGCTCACCAGCCATGATGGTAATGTTAAACAACTCTCTTAACCCCTCACGGGTTCAGACAGAAAATAATCTCTTGTGATGTAATCTTTTTCCTTTTGTTCCTGTTCTGACATCGATTAGAACTTTTTGCTACTATGTCCATTACCCTACCAAGACAGCAATCCTCTAACAGACTAACAGCAACCGGATCAATAGCGTGTTTCACACCTAATTACATCCTTCATATCAGTTAATTTCAGTGTCGCAAGGATTTCTTCTACAAAATTTCAGATCAAGCAAATATATAGTACTGACATGGAGATTTCTTTCACTTTTTTAGTCTTAGTATGATCATCTATTTTTATATATATAAATATATATAAATCACAGATTTTAACTTCTTAATTACGAGCTCAGGGTTGACACTTCTTTATAAGGAAAAAAAATGTTTGGTCAACCAACTCTTCTTTTTTTGCTGCTCTGAAAAGTAACCCTTTAATGACTGGTGAGCATGAAAATCAAAGAAGAGAATTTTTTACATATCCAGTTGTCCATTTCCTAACAAGTTTGCAGGTTGGTGAAGAAAACCTCTCTCATATGTGTGTATTTGGTGGAGGGGGCAGGGGGGAGCATGTGAGTTTGTATGATAGGCCTAGAGAAGGACATGGATGTTAATTGTGATGGTAATTGTACTTCAGATTCTTCAGATACATTGCTTTAATAATCATAGTCTAAATGGTTATGGTCTGGGATAGAATTTCCCTAATTTGCATCTGGTCATAAAAGCCAAGATGGAAGCTGTTTAAATCCTGGACCAATGTGTGTCAACAATTAGTCATCAAAATCTTCCTTGTTTTATCAACCACAGACAAAGGATTCTTGGGCAATTCTGCGTGGTGTTGAAATTATTTGCCATAAACTTATTTCCTGATTCTTACGTTGACTCTGGAAATGGTATACACAAATTGTGGTAACACTGTAAAGCCAGCCAACCACATTCCAATTTAGCAGCAGAGCAGGTAGATCATATCCATTGCAATCGCTTTCTCTTGTCAAATTATAATTAGCTATCGATTTAGGCATGAAATTAAAATAGAAAACACACAGCACGTTAGAATAAAGTATACTTAAGCACTTTTACCAAAAAAAGTATTTACAATCTATTTATATAGTATGTCTAATAGCAAAAAGCATAAGTTTTGAGCCACTTGTATTCAATTCCTTTTTTTCCCCATTTGTTTACTTTGAAACATAATGATAGAAAGCATCATAGAATCATAGAATCATAGAATCATGGAATGGTCTGAGTTGGAAGGGACCTTAAAGATCATCTAGTTCCTTCCCCCCTTGCCATGGGCAGGGATGCCATTCACCAGATAAAGTTGCGGAGGGCCCCATCCAGCCTGGCCTGGACAGGTGGTCTGTTCTTCTGGGCCCAGATTAGTATGTCACTATCTAAGTGTGCAGATCACATGGGTCTTACATGGCCATAGCAATGCTTCCCGCTTCTCCAAATCTTCCCCCAGGAGCAGGCCTTCTAATTGAGCTTGTTCTGTGTCCAGGAAGTTTAAGCCAACTCTCATAGGCTTTTTCTTTTGCCCTGATACAGCAGGTGTCAAGCAGAAGGTCTTTGATTTTAATTTTTTTTCTGAACTTGCACATGCAGTTTTCTACAAGGAGAATCCTTTAAAAATCTCCCCTGATCTGTCTCTTTCTACCAATCTCCATATCCTCTCTACATGCTCAGCAACTTTCTTTCAGGAGAAGTTTGATTTTGATTTCTCTGGTTGTGTGTTTATTTGGTGGTAACTGATTCTATATGCATCTGATTATTCTGGATCTGAAAGCTTATTGACAGGCAAAAGTGCCCAAGCCCTCTGATGCAAGTCCTCTGCTGTACTTGCTCCACTCTGCTAGTGAAGGAGCTGATGGACTCATCAGGTTTTTGTGTTAGCCTTGGCACACATGTATGGGATCTGAAGACTGTTTTCAGCTGGTGCAGCCAAGGTGTGTGTCCAGGGTGCTCTCCTCTATTTGCACACCTCCATTGGACTTTTGGACAAGGAGTAAGTTGAATCCTTTTGGACAAGGAGTAAGAAAGAACCCCCTTCAGGGGTTCACTGAAGGTGCTCATCACTGGAGGAGCTTGCCCTGCTCCTCTTGAACTGGGTATTATAAACTGCCACTTAAACAACGTACCAGCTTAATCCTTGCCTAAATGTGATTCTTGCAGGAGTTCTGCCAGAAATTTTTGTCTTCCGTATTATTTCTCCTCTTATTTTGTTACTATGCATGGTGATATTTTGTCAGGAGATGGAGATGCCTTTGCGTGAAGTTACTGTGTATACATTTCTTTAATAGTCCCTAAAGGTTGAATACGCTCTTCATACATTACATTTTTCTGAGATTAAGAGAGCTATTAAATCTACAGAGAAAATTAAATTGGGAATGAAGGAGAGAAAAGAAAAAGCATTCATGTTCATAAATGTGAGAATCTGCATAATTTCCAATTATTCTATTCGCACATCCTTTGCATCCAATAGCTCTTCTTCTGAGGTAATTTTTTGGTGTGCCACAATTTTAATATTTCTCTTCTGTTAGCAGCAGATAAAATAAGAAATTATAAAGAAGACAATTACATGTTCAAGAAAAAGGAGCTAAGTCCTAAGGAAATGTCCTTTGATTGTGTAAGCCCTCTATGCTTCACAATCTAGAAGTTCTTCACATGTAATGTTCTTTTAAAGTGGAGGCTAATAAAAAATTAAATGCAATTAATTACATAACCATTGCTGTAGACCCCTGTGAGGCTTTATCTTTTCGAAATTAACTGAATTGTTTTTGCATCATCCCCAAATTTTTCATGTTCATTGTACTGCAGATTTTTCTACTCATGACTCAGTACATAGTAGTGTAAATGCAGTGCAGACTACCTGGACTCTGGCCAAACTTAGGCATTTCAAAAAAAGACAATCAGAAAAAATTGAAAAAAGAGAATAGAGATTTCCTGCAAAAGAGGAAAGGAAGCTGTGCCTCGGTGTTCTGGTAAGGGTTGATCTCTCCCAGTTCCCTTAGAGGCATCATAGACCTCTGTCCATGGAAAGCTCTGAAAATCTGAGTCTCAGATGCACAAATCATCCCAGTTCTGTGGGACTTTTAGCGAGAATGATCCCCACAGATGTGTGAACCAGTTTGAGCTGCTTCCATGCAAAATGGCTTTACTGTGCATGTGGCTGAGCACTGGCACAGATTGCTCAGAGAGGCTGTGGAGTCTCCCTCACGGGAGATATTCAGGAACCATCTGGACACAATCCTGTGCCATGTGCTGCTCTAGGATGACCCTGCTTGAGAAGGGAGGTTGGACCAGATGACCCTCTGTGGTCCCTTCCAACCTGACCCATTCTGTGATTCTGTGATTCTATGAGCTGGAGCTGTTCTTGGGAGGTGGACTCTGTGCAGTGTCTCAGCAGGCAGCAGTTGCCTTCAGTTTACTAACTGATTCTGAATGATTATTAAATGTAACTATACTTATTCACTGAAACTTTTATTATTCCAACATAAAAAATAAATTACAGCACTGATGCATGTTGTGTTTTTTGTTTTTAATTTGCTTCCAAAGAAAACCCATTAGAACTGAATACAGAAAATTTTAGAACAATTATGCAGGTTTCTATAGATTTCATTATGGGTATTTAGAAGAAATCCACATTTCAAAGACCACACAACTATGTTTACTATATTAACCCACAAACGTTCAAACCTGCTAGAGGAGAATGGATAGAGTTAACAACAGTGGAATGTTACATAAAATTGAAAAAACCATAATTTTAAAGGGAAATTCAGCAGTCAAAGGCTAAGTCTTAGTGTCAGTACTGAATTATGTTGTCAAAACATAATAGACTCAGCAATGCCTACTTTCAAGAAAAATAGGGCAGGTGATGCACTGAACATGCAATGTTTTCATTACAACTACTCAGAGGGACTGTGAGGATCATATTAATATGTGTAATTATGACCCTTTTTGGATAAGATAATGATAAAGACCAGACAACCATGGTAACAGGGTGTGTGAAGCATAAATGTTATGATAGTAACAATTTCCTCCTCTGTTAAACAGTGTAGGAGATACAATGGAGAATGAAAAGCTTTGATTTTTAAAATAAAGTTCCAACATCAGACAAGA